AATGTAATTTTAAAGCATTTGAAGACAATAATAACAATAATATAACAAAAAAGACAATAATAACAATATCAGCATTAACTGTACATTTTATGACAGTTCTGCACGGAATTTTTAACTAATAAATATACTACACTTCAATTCATTTCTCTCTCTACTTCTCTATTGCACTGCATTTCACAACACGTCACGACACTCCAATTCAACTACTACTTTAAATATAATTGTATATTAATAAACCAATGCATTTAATAGTGATTATCATAATTCAATTATAATCAAATTATAATTAAAATAATAACTACTTTAATAAGCCTAACTTACTAACTAATACATTTTACAAATGACCTTAGTTAATATACTTTTTAAAACTTTGAATACCTAGAAGAATGTCCATGGCTGTAGCAAGCAACTTATTCCAGTCCGTTATTGTTCTATATGTGAAGGAAAATTTTCCAACATCTGTTCTTTGTAGCCTGAACTGAATTTTGTGCTTGTGATGCCCTCTACTAAAGTATCGAGTCGAATGAAAATATCTTGCCAAACTAAATAACCGGCATACGATTTGTACATGCCTTAACCCTCCTGAATTCTAGAGACTCCTATTCTACTTTCTTCCTATTGCTGCGGAAAGTTTACACGCTTTTCTCTGTACTCTATTCAAATGTTCCTTTCGTGAATTTTTATAACGGTCCCAACAATACGCCGCATTTCCATTAATGGACGAACTAGAGATAGGTAAGCTATTTCTCTCGCTTTCGCAGTATTTTTTTTAGTATTCGCATAGTAAAATGTAAAGACCTCCAGGCTTTTCCTACTACAAAGTTTACCTGATTTTCCCAATTTAATTTGCTATAAAGATTATTCCTAGGTATTTACAAGCCAGGACTCTTGGAGTATTTTCGTTGCCTAAACGGTATTGACTTTCCCTGTATTTGCGGCCCCTACATAACGTGATGGTTTGCTTTTTGACCTATTTATTAACATGCATTTTTTCTGCCCCGAAATGTAATTTATCTACTCGTAGATCATCCTGCAAAATATCCTCGTCTACTTTTGATTGAATAACTCTCTCAGTTATATTATACAGTCATCTGCAAATAGTCTTACCTTGGAACATAAATTGTCTGGCAGGTCTTCAGGGATCCCCGAAATTACCTCTGCCAGAGTTGAAAATTGTTGTCCGACTCGGACTTTCTGTTTCTTATCTCTAAGAAGCTCATCAATTCACGCCACAACACTGGGGTCAGTACCCGAATGCAGTAATTTATGAACTAGTTTGTCGTGTGGGACAACATCAAATGCCTTATCAAAATCTATTATTATGGTATCCACCCTCCCATTATCATCAACTTCATCTGCTATATCCTGAAACAATGATACTATCTGACTCTCGCAAGAGAAACCATTCCTAAAACCATGCTGTCCCTGAAATCGCCATTCTTTTTGTTTCCATTCTTGTCTAATATAGCTAGTTATCAAATGTTCCATTAGCTTACATACAACTGACGAGAGACTAATCAGTCTATAATTTGCTAAAACAGTACTGTCAGCATTCTTAAAAATCGGAACGATTAGTAGCTGGCTTTCAATCTTTTGGCATGCTTGAATTGTTGATCGAAACATGAAATAATCTTGTTAGATAGGTAATATTGCCTCTATACTGAGTTTAATTATGTCCATTGAAATGGCATCTGGGCCCTGGGACGGAGTTTATTATTTATTCTATCCTCTCCCCATTAATTCCACACACGTGCACTACAATATTACACATGTCGAGAAACCAATCAGGATATCAGAGCTTATCCCGGCTGTGTAGGTGCCCTGCGGGGGGGGGGTATGGTAGGAGAAATCCACCGCCAACCGAAGTGTAGGTAGATCGGGGTTGGATCTTTCCATCCATCGGAGAGGACAACCGCTACCTCCCGGGATAAAAAGATTCACTACACTAACGGGACTAATCGCCGCAGCATTTGAGTTTCCAGAAATATCAGTCAACCACTCCTCTTTGACTCAGAAAGTGTGTGGGGGGGGGGAACAAAATTATGCAAACTTGAGTTTTGAAGGGTCTGTTACTTATTTTCATCTTTAATCTCCTTTCCTAATTTACTTACTTTCATCTACCACTTGCGCAGAAGAGCGATTGTTACATAATGTTGCGCAAAAAACGGCTAATTTTCGACAGAAAAACTCTTATGGCTGGGTCCTGATAACGAACTAGTGGTGCTACAAAATAGCACAGACATTCCCGTACTAGTTTTCTATTTCCTGTGGTGTCGGCTAGCTATACGAACTTCCCACACTCTTACCAGTTGCCATCTATCGTCACCCAAAGTACATTTTTTAAAATTTCTTACGTTTTCGGTTTTTTAATAGTAGAACCGATATTACTTTAGGAATATTAAAAAATAATAAACCTTCGTCCTTAACGGCAATTTTCTTTGAAAAAATTGGAGCCATTTGTAAGAAAATGGCTCTTAAGCGCCACTGTAAATCGAAATTTGAAGCTCTTTTTCCCAGAAACGTATTCAGGTTTCGAAAAATTTCATATGAAGTCATTTGAAGAACTATAACTCACAAATATATTAGATTTTTTTTACGAATTTCTGGAAATGTGAAAATTAACGGCGTGAAAGACCTTTCAAAATAATTACATTTGTGTAATTTGGAAAAAAACTAAAATAAAATTTACGTCATATTAAAAAGTACAATTAGCACTATCCTTTCGAAAAGTTTGAAGAAAAAATTTGGAGCCGTTTTGAGAAAACGGATTGGATCGTTTCTCAAAATGTGGTAGTTAGAGTTCATTTTAACAGAAAATTGTTGCGATCCGGAAAACTGGAATAGTAATCAACTGCATTGTTGGTGCTGGAAGAAGCGTAGGTTTCAAATTTACAAGTTCATAAGTTCGTATGAAAGTTTATTACGGTACACTGCGCCGCAAAGTTCCAATTTCTATGAGACACGAAAACAACCGAAATATGACATCGTATGACATAAAAGTATAAAGTTAACAATAATTTACATCTGTTGAGAATATAATGCTGAAATCCGTAAATCGTTTCAAATTAGTGGTGCTAAAACATCACATGCTTTCTTCTCCCTATTTTCACGCAAAATTGCGTGAAAAATGTTCGCAACATTGGACATGACCTTTTTTTAAAATCTCTCTTTAAAGAAAATATTGCACTGAAGGAACAACATTTCTATCTTAAATATTTTAGCTGCAGGAACACTCCGAAAAAAGTTTGAACTTTTGCAATTTTCGAAAAATCAGAGTATTTAACGAACAAGATACTTGCACCTTTCTCTTAAACGTCCTTCACACTGTTCAACAACAAAATTTAATAAAAAATAATTGTGAAATTTTTTTGAAAATTTAGAAAATGCGCCATGGGCGACTTGTAAAGAAGCCCCCAAAATTGAAATATCGATTTCAAATTCAAGGGCCCGCGACATCAGCCAGATCGAATGCGGAATATCAATTTTGGAGAAAATCGAGTGAACGATTTAGCCGCTACCGTTGTTCATAGACGGACGGACAGATATTTTGCCGTCATCCGACTTTTCGGTACCAAGGATCCATGAATTATGGTTCACCACGTGATAGAGAGTTTTTTCTCAATTTTGCAAAATTATCCACTTTTTCGTTACTTCGGCCCTGTAATATGGGTTTTTCTGTAGATATGCGCCGTTTTTTGGCGCATCATTACATAACTTTCTCTCTACCCCGTAGGGAGAAAGTAAAAACAAAGTGAAATAAAATATATGAAAAACTATTGAGATACTCACAGAAATAATAATATCATGTTCTGTCATTCCTCCAAGGCGATCAATCTGTTAAATTACATACTTTCTAGTTTGAAACTTCTCGTTTGTGGCCGATCTGTTACGGAACTGCTCGTTGCTGTGAATTTCCCAGACTTGTAAAGTTTAAATGGTCAATATTTTAGTGTGTGCGCACAGAACACTTGACGAACTCGGCAACTCTTCAATCTTTTGATGGATTTCTTATACATCAGTCTCTCCCTTTTTATACACGACTCGATCTGATTCTGAAATATCGCCTCACTATTCTCTAGGCCCTTAATATCACCTTCTGAGTCTGGAATTTATTTTTCACACCCATGTTTAGTGAATCGACATCGCTCTTTACCTCCTTTTGATCGCTAAGAAGTACATTGAACTTTACAGTCCGACGCCGAATTTGACCACTGACTTCGTCGTTATCAAATCTATCTAGGCTTCTAACTAACCAATCACTTCTTGTGACTTATTGGTAACCCTATTGTCAACCTCTTATATTTCACTAGTTAACTCGGAGGTCAGACTGTCCGGTTTTCAAATGTCCTGTTTTTAATTGTTAAGTACTTTCTGGAAACTTTGCTTGTAAATTTGAAGAAATTTGTTGAGAATTTTCATTAAACCTTGCTTCTAAATTTCGAGAATCTATTGAGGACGTTTACTAAGTCGATGCCAACTTGATGTCGACTACTAATTTTTATGACATTTTGATTCATAAAAACCGTCATTAAATCATCATCATACTCGTTGTATTCGTTTGGGATATTTCAATCGCTATATTTTATGAATTCGTACGTGCACTTGTGGTTTCACTTATAGTTTCATGGATACTTACCTTTATGATATAGCTATTTACGATATAAGTGTCGTAAAACTTCTATTTACAATACGAGATTGGAAAATACCCAAACAAGGCCTTTAGGTAAATTGCTGAAGAATGATTTGATTCGAATTAACGACTTTTTAAAAATAAATTTGCGAAAACATAGGAACACTATCGCCCCGGAACGTATTAAACTTAAACAATTTCAAGTGAATACGAAAAAAAAGACTAAGTAACGCTAGAGAATGGATGAACGTTATATTCGACTTCTCACTTTTGCTTCTTACATAAGTATGCAAATACCGATTTTCAAATAAATGTGACCCACAACTTAGGTTAATTAAACTTAACTAACACCTTATTCACATAAACATAGAAAACAGTCCCCTTTCAATGTTATATTTGCATGCAACAATAGATTCTCATACAAAACAATTAATAGAGCAATTGCAGAAGTAGATGTAAAGACAAATTAAACTGAGTCTGTGAAGTTTCAACGTCTTTAAAAATTTGGGAAGAAAAATATAGACGTGTGAAGGAAATTCGGGGAAGATTCAAAGGTAGTTGCTAAAGATGTTGCGACAGAATTTTCGGTACTAATTGGAAATGATATGCATTTTTGCATTTAGCATTTTTACTAATGCAAATGTGGTAAGTTCATATTATCAAAATAGCTTAAAATATAGGTGTACTACAATTCAACTATTTGCATCACAACCTGCAAGTATTTGTTACGGCGTTTATAATTTTGAAATTGCAATAAGATCACATGCCGTATGGAGGTAACACAATGCCATTGGGTGTTGGGAACTTTTGAACGGAAGTATAACATTATCAACTACTACGATTCATATTCATTTGTAGGACCAATGTCTGATACTGAAGACATCATTTGAACAAAGCTGGGCATGAAAGAAATTTTCAACACATGAAATATTTTTAAAACTGTTCAGCGACGTTGGCTGGGCTATCCGGGACGAGCGCGTCGATGTCATGGTGGCTAACGTTTCCGGCCAGCGTATTGCGGCCTTCTTCAGAGCGTACTGCTCCAGATGTTTTTCAGTCCCCCCCCTCCAGTTTCCCTGGAGAGGCAGGAATTTATTTGTCTTTGGGGTACATTATGAATAACTGCAGCGATTTGGCTTCGTGCAGTTAGGGAAAGGCTTTATTGCTTACAACTAAAACTATCTTACAACTATAACTATAAACATTCCCACTTTGGGGTTTGTTAGTTTTTAGGCTTCTTTTTTAAATTTTTAATTGGTAATCTTGAATGTTCAATTTTCTTCTTTTAATTTTTTCTCACTCGCATTCATTCATTCATTAATAATTATATTTACAAACGCATCCATTCATTCATTCTTACAAACACACTTCACCCACTACATACACTTTTAAAGCACGCCACGGCGCCGACTTCAATCAGGCGTCCGTGGCGCCGCGACGTCTTCGCTCCCCAGCGACGCTGGCCTAGCGGAGCGCGCATTCGCGCCGCCGCGCGGTTTCTGCATCCGTGAGTGGCGATCCCCTGTAGCACTTGCTGCTCCCCGCGCGTCCAGAGCTTCAGAGAGCTTGTGCGGGGGCAGTGCGCGGAAGGTGAAGGCGACGTCCCCTGATATAATGAATAAAAGTTCATTGAAGCAATGAAAATGTGTTAATTTTAAGTTGAATATTAAAGTGCATATTTAAGATGTTTTAGAGGTCATAAAAGCATGACGAGTATTTCGAGTTTTTAGGACATTAAAATCATTTTATGATTCATTACGTTACTAGGTATGTTTAATTACTTATACACTTGTACTCTAATGTAAATGGAATGCACGTAAGATAGGTTATTAACAAAATTTCAGATAATAAAAAATATAACCCCATGTAATAATTCCATTTTACAGTTCCTAAATAATTTGTTTGCTTTTTTATTCATTTTGCATAATCAGAATTGGGTACTTACAGTAGTGCTAAAAACTACATTGCCTTTCTTACAGTTGTAACCTGCAATACAATCCTAAAAATACACCAATTGATTTGTAAATTCGATGAGTTATAAAGGTAATGGAATCAGAAACATCATTATAATCCACATAAAATATATCATTACCAACTCTACTTACATTTTGTTTACAAGTTTATTGAGAGCTTATTGGATTAGAAAATAAGAAATTCCCATTTTTCTTTAGGTAATGCAGTTTTGAGCACTACTGTACAATTAATATAACTTATAAGTCAAAGTAATGAATGATTTGAAAATTTAGGAACATCTGAAATGATAATGTTGTAATAAAATGCACTGTCTTAATGCAACAAGAACTTTCATTAATGGAGATATCGAAGACCCTTTCGTCTTGATTTTGTCAATCAGCGGCACAGGTGTATTCACTACTGTTGGTTTATTTACGCGAAACCGCTTTTGGAATTCTTTTCGTCATTGGTAATTCCCAGTGGATTGCTCCCATCAGCTTTTTATTATTTCGCACGATGTGGATGAGTATAAAACTCAAAATATTCTGAGAGCCTAGGCTTCGCGGCCGGAGTCAGTATTTAATTGGCTGTTCGACTGACGCTGCGTCCATGGCAAGGTGCCGACGTTTCGGTCGCCATTCTGCGACCTTCCTCAGGGCGTAATGTAGGAAGGTCGCAGATGGCGACCGAAACGTCGACCGCTTTCCATGAGCGCGGCGTCACCCAGACAATCAATTAAATCAGTTTTTTCTGCGAAGTCTTGGCGCTTTCATTTAAAAGTGTTTCCTTTATGTATTGTTTTTACTAATAATACCAAAATTTTGCTGTCTGATAAACGCGAGACAACGGCCACAACGAGAGACAAAGCGGACCGAGACAACCTTAAGGGACACTTAAGGGAGCTGGTTGCCTCCCTTATAGAAATGAATGTTTTATAGGAATGAGTCCAATCAAGGGCTGTTAATGAATAAGGTTTGTTTACTTTAGGGACACGCATTTTAATTTGTAGAGACCGAAATATTACTTCAATATTGTAGAAGAGTAAAACGCCCTATATTGACATGTGAAATTTGAAACTCTTTTTTACCGAAGTCTTTTGAGTTTCGAGAACTCCAATTAAATCATTTGAAGTACTTTTACTTACAATTCACAATGGATACAATGTAGGAAAGTTAAATATTCACGACGTGAGAGATTTTTCAAAATGCATGAGTATAATTTGTGAACCAAAGCATGAGAATAAGGCAAAATGGTTTTATGTCGTCTATACAGTGCAATTTGCACTACAGTTCGAAAACTTCTGCACAAGAAAATTGGAGTCGTTTTTAAGAAGATGGCGTTTAAATATTTCTGAAAACTCGAATTTTGTGTGCCATTTCACAAGAAACGTTTGCGTTAGCGAGAAACATTATGAGACACATTTGAAGCACGTGTACTCATAATTCAATACCGGCGATACAAATCGCCGGTAAAGGAATATTGGAAATGTGGGAGAGATGTCAAACTGTCACCACTGGTCGACCAAGGCACAGCACTCGAGACATGATAAGGACGGAGAGATGTTAAAAAATTACATTTCTGTAATTTTTGAAAAAACACTCAACAACAAAACAATGGAATAGAGCAATATATCTTTCATCCATCTTGTAAAGTACCATCAGCGGAACCCGCCAGACGTTTGTTCTGCCTATCTCCTTCCAGCAAATTGAATGTTAAAAAAATCCATCCTGTAGATTACGAACGAGAGAACCTTTCCCCAAGTTTTAATGCCCTAGACGCTTTGTTTAGGAATAATTTAACTATATAAATTCTAGTGAATTTATAGACGATGTTTTAATAGTTATTCAGCTCTTCGGGCGGAGATGATTGCAACAATTCAGAGATAATTAAAATTGGTCCTGCCGTACTTGAGATATAAAGGCTGCAACCAACTTTGTTTTAAATATGGGTAAGTTTTACTAGGTGTACCCATGCGAGAAATCTCGCTGTTCTAACGTATCTCAAGAAAAGCAATTCTGAGCCAAAAAATAATAAAACTAATATATTCACCTGAGAGTAATAAATGTCTTTTGTTACCATATTTTTTTAAAAATGTTAAATTATTTGATTATTTTGACAAAAATAATTTTGTCATATTTGTAACTTCGTTTTTTGATGAAAAATAGTTTCGATTACATGGGAGCGAACATTTCTGTTAACAGATTTAGCCTACACACTCTCTTTCTATCATTTATTCTTTATTCAACCATGCTTGGCAAAATCAGTGGAGGTCGAGATTCCGGGGCTCAAGAAAACTGGCGCAGTTCTTGAGAGTACCACGTTACTTCAATACCAAGTGAATGAGTACTGTAGGTTATGTTACAGAAACAAGATGACAATACTTACATTCGTTTGTTGACTGAGAAATCCCCACCGATTGAAGCCAGACATAGTATTTTTTTCTAAGGGCATCGTGAAAGTGAAACTTGTGGGCCGTTTCCATCCAGTTCCTCCACAATTGGGCACAAAGAATTTGTAGATCACGCAAAACGTTAAATGAATGGTTGCAACTATACGCATAAGAAATACCTTCATTGGTGCCGGAGGAATTATTAATGTATTTCTAGTTCGGGCTACAAGAGCGATTTTGAATTATAATTATGCAAATAAGCGTCGTCAGTCTGCGCAAACCACGGTGTCACAGAAATCATAATAGTATAAGATAGGGGAATCTAAGCCTTCCAAGCGTGACTTCACAAAGATGGCCACCCATCACAAATGGTTCAATATAGGTTTCATTGCTACTATTCGATAAGTACCGGAACCAGCCAAAATTTCAATAGGATGTCCTATGAATATTTCATCCTGTAGATTTCAATAGGAGAACGTTTTTATGAGGTCTTTGCCTCAATATTGTAGTTTTTAAGGCCTAAAATGCTTTGTTAAGGAGTTAAGTTACTATTTAGCTAATCGAGTGCTGTGGGTTGCATTTGCATGAATATTTTTCTTTTTTAAACAAACTCTATATATTTTCAAAGTCAAAGTGCCAGTTTGTCACGTCACTGTGAAACTTATTCTTAGAGACCCTATTTATAAGATCGGGTATGTGTGAGAGCCTAAAAAGGTATGTAAACTGCTGAAATAATAATATGAGACGATAGATTTAGCTGCTACCTCCTACCAACATTTTAAAGAAAAATGAAGCTTGTTTGAGGAATTTTTTGTTTTTGATATTTACAAAATAACACAGAAAATTCGTAATTTTCAAAAAACTGTACATGAACTTAATGAAATAACAATGGAAAACAAATTTCATTTGAAGGAAAAATCTCTACCTTCATATTGCCATTGTAGGAAGACGCCCAAAAATATTCTGATTTTTGCAATTTCAAATTTTCCAAGCAAATCGAATCTATCCAACTTTTTTTAATGTGTTTCACTCTATTATTACAAGATAATTACAGAAAAATTTGGAGCTCATTTTTGAGAAATTTGAATATATCCCAGGGGCTTCATGTAAAGTACGACCAAAATTTAAAGAATCTTATTCAAAATCGCAGAGCAGGTAATACCAGATGGACCGGGGAGTATTCTGTTTGAAAAAAGTCTACACAAAGTGTTGTTTTCAGACGACAGACTGAGAGAGATACGGACAAGTAGACGGACAGGCAGACGGTCAGACAGACGGATAGACGGACGGACGGACGTGTTGAAGAACAAACTTTTTCGGTATCAGTGGACCCCAAAACGTATAATCCCATTCAAATTTCGAAATCGATTTTCGCGAGACACATTGTTACGTCGTTACATGAGGTCTTGCGGGCATGTTTAGGATAGACTTAAGGATAGACTTTAGCCGGGCATGTTTAGGATAGCTATTGTTATAACCCATTTTATATAATAAAAAGATAATAAATTGAAATGTATTAAAAACAAGTGTTAGAATAAGTTTTTTCCTCCCGCATTTACAATTAGGTCCTTTACAATAATTATCATAGGTAATACCAGCGAGTGCTTTGGTAATTGCCCATAAATCCCGACTCGCGAACGGATGAAGAGAGTTTATCTGAGAAGTTTCCCGAAAGGCATAAGTAGTATTATAATATAGAACTATTTCACGAATGCAAATTCGTGTCCAACAGCTTTCCAGAGTGGGCCAGAATATTGAACAATAGACTGAATGCTGTGTTAAATCAAAGAGTTATGGTACATATGCAGTTTATTGGATATCGACATGCGATCATGATGTAATAACGCCTTCTAATATAAAAGAGTCAGCAGTTTGACAGTATGGAGAAGCGAAAGAAAATGCGGATAGAAAAAGCGATAGTTGTTGAGAATTCACCGGATTGAGGCATTGTGTGTAATAGTTAAACCCCTATTAGTTTAATTTCTGAGTGGAATAGTCGCTAGAATATCTAAACACAAATAATCGAAATTAATACTCCTGAGTAACATAACAGTAAGAAAATTAATGATATATTGGCCAAACTAGTGAATTATAAACCTCACACGCATTAGTGAGCGTATTTTCCACAAACGTTTCAACGCAGTTCGAATAGACTCAACGCTTGCTGCGCAGGTCCCTTGTTCTCATCAATTCTCCTGTATTGCCCTTTAAGGTTGTTCAGCTTTTTGAACAGTTTCTTATAAGAACACAAGCGTAGATTACACGGAGAACGGCTCATCCGGGGTGAGGCCGCTTTGGCACCCGCGCGTCCGCGCTCAGTGTGCGGATCCCGCTACGTGCGCTCTGCGAAAACGCTACGTGGGAGCTACGAAAGCACCAGATTGAAGCCTCCAGGCAAGGGGGAACCCACGGCGGCGGAAACGCAGGCCGAAGGCGGCGGGCGGACAGGCTTGAAGCGAAGCTGTGGCTGACGGTTGTTTTGCCAGGTGTTTGCGTTCGGCCACGTAAACCCGCAGGATCCAGGGAGACCTAAATATTTGGCCCTTGCCAGCGGCCGGCGGATTCGTGCTAGTCTGCCAACCGCCGCGTTCCATCACCCACCCCACGCACGGCTCACATTGACGAGAGCGGTTCCCTCGAAACCAAGAGTATTGGCGCTTCAGCCTACCGACGAAGTCGGCGAGACAGCTGATGCTTACACTGAAGGCTGCCACTCGCGCATCGCGCTAAGGGTCAATTGATCAATTCCAGGAGCACGTACGCGGCGCGCTTTGTTTGCACAGCGCCAGTAGTCTGAAATCGGTTGCACATCAGAAAAAAGAACGGCGACGCGTTGTTGACATTGCGTGTGCTCAAACAGCCAGGGGGTGTATTCCGATCTTAAATACACGATTGTGACAGAATCATCAAACTGGGACGCGGTTATCTAGTCGGGAGCCTATTGGTCATACTTTAGTTGTTTTCGTTCTGATTACCCGTTGGATTCCCGCGCCACATGATGATCTGTGGCATCACTATAACTTTAAATCGGACAGTACGTGGCCTAATACGGTGTCTCACGAGAAGCACTTCGTCACGGAAACACCGGTTGTCTCCAAGCGTGGAAGTCATTTGGTAAAAAACGAGTAATCACTTCTGCCAGCCACTATAACAGCATTCCCTCGTTCCTTAGAGAATCGAAAAGCAAGAACTTAATATCCGAAAAAAACCACCGCATTAGATCTTCGAACAGTAGTTGATGTTTCTTCTTCTACTACGACAGTTGAGCAAGAGGAGAGGGAGAGAGAGGAGAAGAGAGCAGAGAGAGAGAGAGAGAGGAGAGAGAGACGAGAGAGAGAGAGGGGGGAGAGAGATAGAGGGAGAGGAGAGGGGGAGAGAGAGAGGGAGAGAGAGGGAGAGAGAGAGGAGAGAGAGAGAGAGAACATCCCTTAAGAATTGCAAACATATTTGTTCAATTATAAATCATTTTTTAATAAAATAGTTTGACACGAGCCGTTATGTTATCCTTTGGAGAGGTTTAAAGCCCCCTGTAATAAGTTGACAACAAGCAAGGCGTTGAGGATGAAGCGTGTAGATGAACGGTTAGTTTGGAGTTTGGTGAATATTGTACAATAATGAAGCCGAGAAATACACTTAATTGAAAACAGATGCGTCTGTATAAAGAACTTTTCTTTGAAAGAGAACATCAAAAGTACTAAATAATTTCTGAGCTGATAATTCGTACTTAATGGATGAATGTATTGGAACTGAACTAGAAGTACTGTCAGAGTTCGGGTAAGCCGCCTCGAGAAACGTACTCTGTGGGACTTGCGACGGTAATCGTTGCCGCTCTACACGGAATCGCCCGTGCTTTTTACTTTGTGCTACGCGAGTAAAGAGAAAGTGGATGTATGTTGGCGCAAAAAATCGGATTTTTTCGACAGAAAAACTCATTGTTACAGAGCCTAAATTTAGAAACACAAATTCCTCTAATACGTGGTGTAGCCAGAATTCGTTTTGTAGCGTCCTTGTACAGAAAAATCGCATTGACGGCAAAACGTCTAGGCCGTCTGTTGCAGGTCGTTGAAAACTAGCGCTTAGAACATTCTGCCGCATTGTTCCAAAATTTGATTACTCCTCGCATCGATCCTCCCATATGATAAATTTTGAAATGTATAAGTCATGAACAATGTTTCAAGCATTTGAAGTACTTTCTGTAATTTTGTGTGAAAACGACAGCCGAAAGTGTACCCGCTGTTTTATGCACACCACTAGTATTGTATTGTAAAATTCAATATATCAGCGAAACATTTAAATGACGTGGAATTTATTACGTATTACTGCAATTATCATTTGTGCTTTCTTTGCTACGGGCTCTACCGTGCTGGTTTCTTAATATAACGAAGTTTTATCCAAGAAACACTTTTAACCTTCTTTTCTTTCACATTTTTACAACACTTTCACGCAATACTGAATTTAATTTGGAAAAAACGTCAAGTACCATTTGTGTTTTTTAATATCGCGTCAGATACGGAAGTCAAAATACGATTTTTTGCTTCTGCGCAGTCCCCTGCGCCCAGTAGAGCGGCGCAGCGGTAGAAGCCCCGGCTGTTCTTTTATATCTTAAATTATAATCGATCCAAGAGGATGGATTGTGCGGATAAAACTGCAGGTAATTAAAACATATAAATACTTTTAATGGTAAATGCAATCGTCATACCTACAAACCATACTTTTTGGGTTCGTGTCTTTATTAAATTCTACTATGCAACCTACACTATGTCGCTGATGGCTCTCACACGTAAGAGCAAAAGGAGCATTTTCACCTCGATGCTTCTAGGTCCGAGCAGAGGTGATCTAGCTGAGAAAAACTCACACTTCTGTGTGAATATAATTTATCAAATGAAACAAAAAGCTCAAGTGTAATACTGGTTTAAAAGTGTGTGATCGTTTGAATAAATTTACGCTTGGGCCTTAATCCGCTCAAACAATTCGAAACTAGGAGATCTAGATTTGATGTTGGATAGTTTCAGGCAGAAAGGCAGGTGATACAGTCCTCGACCATGCCTGGTTTGACGTAAAACTTCGTTCAATTTGGGACCAGTAAATAATTCCTATCGTACTCCCTCACATCCATCCCTCCATGCATCCCACATCCATTCTCTCGGCCAAATCGACTACTCGAAAGATCACTGCCTGACTTTATTACAGTGTATAAGATTCTTACAGAGTTCACTAATAAACTAGGCCCCTCGATGCATATATTTGCCTTTTTATTGAAAATAGTGATTGTTCTAACTAAATCAGAAAACCAAATTATGATCACCAGCAGACGGAGAGCGGCGGTCTTCAATTGCTCCAACTAGCGTTGCTCAATGTTTTGGACCATTACTTATTTTGGCAGGAATAATGAATTAATGAGGTTTTGGTAAAATTTAGTGGTCCATGCACTAGTTCGCGACGCATCTTGAAAGTAAAAAGCATACGTCCTATCATGAATTCCGCTTAAATGTATTCTAGCAGTATCAAAAACAGTTTTTAATGCGGACATTTGTGTTTTCCGCCGTGACCCATAGCATTTTTTTCAGCAACTTTGTAGACCTTTATTCTTTCTCTTAAGAATTGAAAACCAGTGCTGAATGTTCTAACAATATGTTAATAAATTATATTGGATTCCCAGTATACCTGCCTCAAATAAAAAATATTTTCTATCCTTATTTTTTCTCATATGGGAAGTGTTTTGCACCAAATGCTCTTGAACGCAAATGAAATACATTTCGATCTTTCA